AATAAAATCCTATTTCTATTCCTTTCGGACCTTCCTTCTTCTATGTATGTCATAATTTTCCGTTTTTTTTTCTCGTGAGAAAAAAAGGAAACAGAATCACGAAGGAGGTCCAGTAAAAAAGTTTTGGCGCCAAATTCAAACTTTTTCTATTCGAAGACCCGAAACAAAGTGACGAGTAGCTCGGGAAGAAAAAAGTATAGTTGTGAAAAAAGAGAGAAAAACTTTTTCGGCAAAACTTTGGAAAATGGTAACCACGGGACATGGGTACCTAGCAATTAGGGGGAGAAGAAGGAGAGAGAGGGAAATTTCGAAAGAATCACAAGACCAAAAAATTTAGAGAATATGTAAATATGAAATTTAGGGATTAATAGGAAAAATAGGAAAAAAAAAGGAAAATATAAGGTTTGTCTGAAATTCAGAAATTCAAAAACTCTAAAATTCAGAAATCCAGAATTCGGAAATTTAGAAATTCAAAAAACTAAAAATTCAGAAATTTGAGAATTTTGAAAATTCAGAATTTCAGCATTTCGGAAATTCAGAAATTCAGAAATTCAGAAATTCAAAAATCTGAAAAAGGTTTTTTTCAGGCGAAAATTGATTTATGGACATACGGACATCCGGAAATTCAGAAATTTGAAATCCCGCCAAAAAAACCCCCGAAATTCTTTCAGAAATTTGAAAATACTGAAATTCTTGAGATCCAAAACAATAACTATAAAAACCTTAAATTCCAGGGATCTAAAATTCCAGAAATTTCAGGAATTCTAAAATTCTAAAATTTAGAAATTCAGAAATTTAAAAATTTAAAAATTCACAATTCCTTTTTTGGAAGTTTTTGGAAGTTCCGTGATTCAGAATTTCACAATTTCAGAATTTCAGAATTTCAGAATTTCAGAATTTCAGAATTTCTAAATTTCTAAATTTCAGAATTTCTGAATTTCTGAATTTCTAAAATTCTGAAATTCTAAAATTCTGAATCACTGAACTTCAAAAATTCGGACTTTCTGAATTGTCGAATCCTCGGAATTTTGAATTTTTAAATTTTGAAATTTCTGAATTTCTAAATTTTAGAATTTTAGAATTTCTGAATTTTCTGGAATTCAAGGTTTTTATAGTTATTGTTTTTGAATTCAAGAATTTCAGAATTTTCAAATGTCTGGAAGAATTTCGGGGTTTTTGAAATTTAGAAATTCACAAATTCAGAAATTCCGAAATTCAGAAATTCAGAAATTCAGAAGCTCAAAGATTCGAAATTCAAAAATTCAAAACTTCAAAAATTAAGGATTTCAAAAATTCACAACATTTGCAAAATTCAAATTAGAAATTCTGAAATTCTGAATAACAGAAAACGAAAACTATGAAAAATGTACGTCCTCATATACTTTTCTTTCTATTACTAGTAAAAGAAAAAAGGTAAGGGTCTGGGACAAATCGCAACTTGTCACTTCCCATCATCATCGTTACATCTCCCTATTTCTTCTTTTTCCGACGACGACGTCTTCTGACTTTACGTCTTCTGTGTTGCTCATCAACTTGTCTCCATATGTCCCGAAAACTGAGAAGACGTGGAGAAGGAGGGGATGTCTTCTGAAATTCTAGAAGTTTCAAATTGTAGGAGGAAGAATAAGAAGAAGGAAATTCATTAATTGGGGAGAGAGAGAGAGAGAGAGAGAGAGAGAGAGAGAGAGAGAGAAAGAGAAAGAATGAAATAAAAGAAGAAAAAGAAGAAGAAGAAGGCTGAAAATAAATGAATGAAAAAAAGAGAAAAAATAGAATAGAGGATGTCAGAAGACACGACGGCAGCGGAGACGGATGTGTGTATATGTAAATATGTTTGGAAAATGAGAAGAAGAAAATGAAGAGAAATTTGAGAAGAGCACAAAAATTTTTATAGATTTTTTTTCGGATTTGCTGAAACTGAAATCTTTAGAATTTGTGATTTTCTTCTTTTTTCAACTTTCAGATTATTTTCAGTTTTCTGGAAATTCCAACTTTTGGAATTTCTGGAATTCTGTGGTTTTGTGCATTTCTGACATTCTGTTTTTTTTAGAACCTTCTGAATGACCGAATTTGTGAAAACCTATTTTTTCACTCCGCGAACTTTCTGGCATATCTGAATGTCTGAGTTTCAGAGTTTCAGAATTTTTTTGAAATTTTGGGATTATTAGAATTGTGAGTTTTCGGAATTTTGGATTTTGCGAGAAAAAAAAGGTCCTGGGTCCTGGGTCCTGGGTCCTGGGTCCTGTTAAAAAGTGAATTTCTCAAAATTTGATTCTTAAAAATTTGAGATTTGAATTTTCAAAGTTTTAAAACTTTCGATAATGCTTAGTTTTGAGGTTTGCTCACATAAAAGCAACATGTGCTTGAAGTTTTGAACCTGCTTATTTGCTAAAATTACAACTTCCGATTCTGGATTTCAAAATTTTAATTTAAGATTTCCAAGTTTCTCTGAATTTACTTTGTACCGAAACCTAAAGCAATTTATTGAATTAAAAAAAAATATTGAGAAAAAAAATTGAAAATAAGGAAAATTGCCAAATCTCGTTACAAAAATAAAAACTCTAAAAAATATATGAACTCTTCAAAAAATTCTGAAATTCTGCACATCAAAATTTTCAGAATATTCTAGAGGAAAATTCTAAAAATTCCAAAAATTCCAAAAAAGTCACGAAAATCTTTTTTTGGCTTAAGGAGAAAATTCTCCCAAACACACATACCCATAAATTCATTTCTCTCATCCGTTTACTTTTTTCATTCTCTTTCTCTACTTTTCTCAAGTTTCAGTACTATTTCGCTCTTTTTTCCCATTTAATTGACTGAATTTCAAATTAGAATGAGCTTTTTTGAAAAGGAAAAAAGAAAGGAGACATAGGAATAGAGAAATAGAATAAAAGGATAAATGAGAAATAGAGAGAATTCAGAACTTCAGAATTTCAGAATTTCAGAATTTCAGAATTTCAGAATTTCAGAAATTCAGAAATTCAGAAATTCGGAGTTTCAGAAATTCAGAAATTCAGAAATTCAAAAATTCAGAAATTCAGAAATTCAGAAGTTCAGAAATTCAGAAATTCAGAAATTCAGAAATTCAGAAATTCAGAAATTCGGAAATTCAGAAATTCAAAACACAAATTCCGGCAATTCAAAAAATTCAAAAAAAAACAGAAGTTCAGACATTTAGAAAGTCAAAAAGTTCTAAAAATCAGGAAAGCTGAAATTCCAAAAACCCAAACATTCCAAAAACCCTGAAGGTCCGAAAATCTAAGATTCTGAACCTTAAATATACCGAAGAAAATTTTCTGGCAATTGGAAATGCTGAAAAACTGAAAAAAAAGGGGGAAAAATGTTTTCCAATGATCCATGTATTTATTTTTCTGTGTTCTCATTTAGATAAACAAAAAAAAGTGATTCTAAATGAATTTTTTCCAAGAATTCCAACTTTTCTCGTATTGTTTTTGGTGACAGACAAAAAAGGAACTTAAAAACTCTAAAATTCCTAATTTAAAATTTAAAAATAAAAATTTTTGAAAAAAAAGAGCATCTTTCAATTTTGAAAAATGTATTTTCTAGATTCAATTTTCAAAAATCATGTACAAAAAAAGATGTTCAAATGAAGTTTAACAAAAAAGAAGTGAAAAAAAAGGTCAGAAGGCCGAGGTCCACCGGAAAGAAAAAAAAAATGACATACGATATTTGAAAAGTAAACGAAAAAAAAAGAACTTTGGTGTTAAAACAGAAGACATCTAGCAAATTCTGAAACTCCGAAAATTTCATGGAATTTTCTGGAATTCTTATGGAATTTCCTGAAATTATTCAAACTGAATATTCAGGAGTTTCAGAAAATTCAGAATATTCTGATGAAGGTTTTGAAAATTCTGAATTTCTGAGTTAATGGAGATTTTGAAGACCTTGAAGATTCTGATATTCTGATATTCTGAAGATTTTGAAGACTTTGAAAACCCTGAATTTCTGAATTTATAAAGCTTCTGGAGATCTTGAAGATTCTGAAAATTAGATACCATGAAGATTCTAAAGATTCTGAAAATCCTGAATATTCTGAAACTTTGATATTATAAAAGTTCTAAAGATTTTGAATTTCTGAATTTCAAATTTCGGATTTTTTGAATTTTCGGTTATTTTTTGAATTTTCTAAATTTTTCATAACTTTTAAAACTTACGAATTTTTGGGCTTCAGATTTTTGTGATTTCGAATTCATGATGTGTTTTTCGGATTTTTAATATTTCCAAAAATTAAGAAAGTTTTTTCCCTTTCCCACTCCCTTTTTCTTCTCCTTGTTAAGACAATGATTCTAAATGATAAGAGGAGTAAATGATGATGGGAAAAAAGAGAAAAAAAAGAGAAAGTAGGAGATATCCGTGTTTTTGGGTCACTCTCATTCACTCACATCATCGCTCTCGTTTTTCGGTTTTTCCGGGCGTTTTCCATAGTTTTCTCATCTTTCAACACGCAATGTTCTTTTTTAAGGTTTAGACCTTAATTTATCGATTTTCTTTAAGCCATTGAGAGTCTGAAAATCATGAAAATCCTAAGATTCCTAATATTCTAAGTATTCAAGAATCCTATGTTCCCAAGGATTCCTGGGATGTTTTCTACTAACTTTCAAAATTGTTTACAATTTCGGGTATCTAGATTTTTCAACTTTGTAGATTTATCAGATTTCCGAAATATCGCAAATTCCTGAATCTTGAAATTCCAACAATCTTCAGAATAGAATAAGCATTTGAAAATTTTGAAGTTATCCTGAAGATTGTAGTAATTATGAGTTTCATATTTGGAAGTCCCGAACATTTGAAAATAAAATCCTCCTTCAAATTCTTGTAAACCTTCAAAATCATCAGAATCCTTAGAATTTTTGATATCCTGAAAATCCCAGAACTTGTTAAACTTCTGAGAATCTTAAGAACCTGAGAATCAAAGAACTTAAAGAATCCTTAAAATCTTAAACATTCTAAAACTTTTCAACTTTCCAGGCCCTTTCACCATGAACGAGAACGCCCGAGAAACGGCGTATGCCACAATAATAATAGTTTCTCTATTTGTCTCCTTATCCACAATATCCTCATTCATCATTTCTGTCCATCCCCTAGCCACAATCCTTCGACCGGCACTCCAAAATTCTGTCAGTGATGCACAATACTGTGAGGTGAGTCATAAAAACGCTTTTTTTGGGAACCTCAAAAAATCCGTTCTAAAATTGCGGCATTTTCCCCTACATTTTAAAGCAAAAATTTGAAAATTTGATCCAGAACGGACCTTGCTAGGATTGGCTTACCTATCCGCCTACAGATCGCTGCATAACTCGCTTCAAACTTAAGTGAATCAAAAAGTATAAGTGAATCAAAAAGTATAATATATAATTTGTTAAGATCTACAAAACCATATTTTATTCGGCTATTTTTAAACACCAATTTCTAACTACAAGGTGCCTGAAGTTTATATCCGGTCCCTGTTTCAGAGTCCGTGCTTCAAAACTCGACATTTGAATTTGAACCAACTTATTAACATTTTATAGATCTTATTCAGTTCTACATTTTGCTTTTTAGATAAAATTAAAATTCAAGCTCTGAGCCGAGTTATGGGTCTGCGCGCAGGGGCAATGGTTCTGGTTATTCCTCCTCTATCAGTATACTTTTAGCTTGAATATCTCGATTCTTTTGAAAGATATCAAACATTTTTTGACTGATGAAATATTTAACATAATATCAACAACATCTTATCAGTTGACAACTTTTTGATATCTGCCACAGAAACCGAGATAAAAGAGCTCAAAATAGAGGTATAGGGTGGGCAATAGCAAGTACGGTATTAGCGAATTAAACTGATTCCCAACTATGCCATTTTTCCAGGAAAGCGCCATCGAGCTCAAAGGAATGCTGTCCGACATTGGTAGTCAATTCCGAAACATCACTCGTCAAAAGCGTGACGAAGTGGACGATTTCCTCCGGGAAACTGGTCAAACCGCGCGCGAGCGAGTCTGCGAGTGTCGTCACCCACAAGGACCACCCGGGTTGTCTGGACGCGACGGACTGCCTGGATCAAAAGGATCCGAAGGAGCTCCAGGACTCCCGGCACGTCTTCCATGCGAGCCACCGGTCGATTACAAGTCTCTGTGTGCTGATCCATGTCCAAGAGGAGTGCAAGGAGTTACTGGGATTACGGTAGGGTCCTAGATGCCTTTGAACCTTTGAAAAAGAGTATTAACCAATTGAATTCGCTTGAAAATTTTAGAGTATACCAAACAAAACTAGAGCTTTAGACTTGTAGTTGACAACTTTTCTCTAAAATTTCAGTCTCGAGAGATATGCCACGTGGAAGAGACTCTTGCTTGTGACATAAAAATGCAACCCCCCTCCCCCCTCTCTCATTCTTTTTTGAAGCCCCCCCCCCCCTTGAAGGATCGAGGGTGGGGTCAAAAATGGAAGGCCTCTTCCACGTGGCATAACTCTCCAAACTGAAATTTTTGAAAAAAGTTGTCAACTACAAAACTGAAGCTCTAGATTTGTTTAGTATTGTCTGAAATTTTCAGGTGAATTCAAAAATGTTTAGGCATCCAAAAACAACTTCTATTTCAGGGCATCAAAGGAGACACCGGTAAGCCAGGAATCCCAGGCAAGAACGGAATCCGAGGCGAGAATGGAAAAATGGGACCAACAGGACCGATGGGTCCACAAGGAATCTCTGGATTGGACGGAGAGATGGGAGATCCGGGCTCCGACGCCACACCCAAACCATTCATTCCTGGACCGCCGGGACCAGTAGGCGAGGAGGGAGAGTTTGGACCACCCGGGCCGTCTGGAATGCCTGGGATTGATGGACCACAAGGAGCACAGGGTCCACGTGGAAAGAAAGGGAAGCCTGGATTCCCTGGAAACGATGGAGCCGCTGGAGCAGAAGGACTCATTGGGGAGAGAGGAGAAGAAGGGAATCGTGGGGTGAGTGGGTTAGCAACGCAATTTATCTCGTTTTCTGTGAAAGATATCGAGAAGCGGTCAACTGATAAACAGTTCACCATAAAACAGAAAACATTTTACTAGTTGGCAACTTTTTGATATCTTATACAAGAGCCCAGATGAATTGGGTCAAAGTTAAATAGAGGTGGTCGCTATGACAAAATCAAAATCTGGAAATTCTGAAAAATCTAATTACCGTACCCCAATACTTATTTTCCAGGTCTGCCCAACGTACTGTGCTACGGATGGTGGCGTTTTCTTTGTTCAACCACCAGATTGGATGCTACAGTAATCCTTGGACTTTCAGAAGTTTCTTTAATTTGTTTCTCCAACTCTCCATGTCTTTTTTTCCTAATTTTTTGCATATTTTCTCTTTGAGTTTTACCTTTGAATCTGACATCAGACCCATTTGCTGTATCCCAGGAATTACGTGTACATATTAATAATTGTGATTGTTAATTGATAATTGATAATTGCCTAATAATATATTTCTCACTTCAATTTTTAAGGCCTTTTAGGGTTTTGAAATCTAGAATACTGGATTTTTTCGAAATTTAGAGATTTTCAAAGTATTCAAATTCCCGCCGAAGGAATCCTGGAATTTTGAGAATTGATTCCGGAAAAATCAATGATTTCTAAAGATCAGAAACCAACAAACAATTGGAATTTCGAATGACTCACAATATTTTTTTTTCTTTTCTAGAAAATTCTCAACAGATATGAGTCAGTATTCTTGTTGTCTCTGGACAATCAGAATTTCGTACGTTTCGAATCTAAGCCCAGTTTTCCCTATGTTTTTTAAAAATATGTATTACATTTAGGTTCCGATTTTTCGAACCTTAGAAATCTTAAATTCCAGAAAAATTGGAAGTTTTCGGAAGTTCTAAAAATGTTTGAAAAAATTAGAAATTCAGAAATTCAGAAATTCAGAAATTCTGAAACTCTGAAATTCAGAAATTCAGAAATTCAAAAATTCAGAAATTCAGAAATTCAGAAAGTCAGAAATTAAGAACTTCAGAAATTCAGAAATTCAGAAATTCAGAAATTCAGAAATTCAGAAATTCAGAAATTCAGAAATTCAGAAATTCAAAAATTCAGAAATTCAGAAATTCAGAAAGTCAGAAATTAAGAACTTCAGAAATTTAGAAATTTAGAAATTCAGAAATTCAGAAATTCAGAAATTCAGAAATTCAGAAATTTAGAAGTTCAGAAATTCAGAAATTCAGAAATTCTGAAACTCTGAAATTCAGAAATTCAGAAATTCAAAAATTCAGAAATTCAGAAATTCAGAAAGTCAGAAATTCAGAAATTCAGAAATTCAGAAATTCAGAAATTCAGAAATTTAGAATTTCAGAAATTTAGAAATTCAGAAATTCTGAAACTCTGAAATTCAGAAATTCAGAAATTCAGAAAGTCAGAAATTAAGAACTTCAGAAATTTAGAAATTAAGAACTTCAGAAATTTAGAAATTTAGAAATTCAGAAATTCAGAAATTCAGAAATTCAGAAATTCAGAAATTCAGAAATTCAGAAATTCAGAAATTCAGAAATTCAGAAATTTAGAAATTCAGAAATTCAGAAATTCAGAAATTCAGAAATTCAGAACTTCAGAAATTTAGAAATTTAGAAATTTAGAAGTTCAGAAATTCAGAAATTCAGAATTCTGAAACTCTGAAATTCAGAAATTCAGAAATTCAAAAATTCAGAAATTCAGAAATTCAGAAAGTCAGAAATTAAGAAATTCAGAAATTAAGAATTCAGAATTTAAGAATTCTAGAAATTTTTTTAAAATTTAGAAACTCAGAAAATCAAAATTCGAAAAATTTTCAAAAATCTCGAAATTCAAAGTTCTGAAATTTTGAAATCCCAGAAATTCCTTAAATTCTGAAAATTCGAATTCCCGCCAATAATTTCTAATAGTTTTTGCCCTTTTTTCTCCAAAAAATGTGCATTTTTTAGCCTACAACTCAAATCTCATCTTGGAGATTATGTATTCACGTATTCTAATCTATTAGTACACATTCATTTTTCCATGTTTTTTCCTCGTCTTTTAGTAATTCCTATCTGCACCACCCATATTTTTTATGACTCATTTTCTCTGTTTTTTCCGCTTTTTTTATTCAAAATCTCACGTAGAACAACAAAATAATCATTATTGAAAATTATGATGTTTATAATTCGTAATCTAAAATTGGCACCGAAAAATCCCATGATTCAGTACCCTGCCCCCTTCCTCATCTTTAAACAGTCATATCTCAAAAACTGAAAATGCTACATTTAATATTTTCATTTAAGAAATGTAGAAAATTTTAAGAAATACATTTTATCAGTTAGCATTTTTAGACTGGCTATTCTAGTTTTTGAGATATACGCGTTTGAATGTTAGGCGCTAAAATCTCTCATTTTCCAGTATTCCTTATCTTTAAACGTTTATATCTCAAGAACCAAAAATGCTAGAATATAAATTATTTCTTTTCTCAATTTTTGAATTTCTGGAATTTCTGAATATCTGAGTTTCCGGACTTTCAAATTTTTAAATTTCTGAAATTCAAAAATCTAAGCCCCTTCTTTTTTGTCCACCTTCCAAATGCACATTTTTTAGGCTCCGCCCCTCAACTACACTTCTCACCAAGGCGAGTAGGTTACGCTCCGCCTCCTTTTCCAGTCATTTCGCCTAAAAAGTGCACATGTGCTGCTTTTTCTAGCAACATTTTTTTTCAAAATGGCTGATAATTTGTCCGAAAAACTGGCCGAAGTTGCCATTGTGGCCGAAACTCGTCTGGATGACCCAATATATCAAAACATTGAAATTCGAGATCCAGTAGAAGATGACGATGATGACGTGGTAAGAATATTTGAGTAGAATAGCCACTGAAAATGTTGGATTTTCAGACTCCAACAAATTCGGTACCCTATCAAAACTGCCATATCAATTTTCTCAAGTGCCAATTATTGCCTTATCTATTGGTAATAATTTTTTTGAATCATTCAATTTCGGAAGATTTTTCAGATCAACGGCACCAACGAGATTTTACCGTAAGTTTAGTTTCAGTTTTGTGGACCATAAAAATTAAAAAAATCTGGCTTTTGATCCGTTTGATCCCATTTTTCCACTTTCTTCTCGGGTTCCGTTTTACCCTGTCCCTTTAAAAATAATTTTGTTTCCGGAGCTCTGAAAAAACACCTTTGTATTCGGCTGAAAATTTCAGAGTGTACTTAACAAAACCACAGCTTCATTTTTGTATTTTACAACTTTTTTCAGAAATTTCAGCCTGAAGAGTTATGGCACTTGGAAGAGGCCTACCTCATTTTTGGCGCACCCCACCCCCTCTTTTTTTTCCCTTGAAGGGTGGAGGGGTGGCGCCATAAGGAAAGGGTCTCAACCACGTGGCATATCTGGTCAGGCTGAGATTTAACAAAAACGTTGTTAACTACAAAATTGAAGCTCTAGTTTTGTTTAGTATGTTCTGAAATTTTCAGATAAATCCAAAAACTTTGAGAAAGTGTTTCAGACAGCCGAAAATTGCCATTTTTGACCAAATTTCAATTTTTTAAATTTCTTTCGAAAATTGGTGAATCTCTCCAGCCGAAAATTCTGCAAAGAACTTGTCAACTATAAAATTAAAGTTCTTGTTTTCTTTAGTGTATTCTGAAATTTTCAGAGAAATTCCCCCCCTGCTCCTTTTTGTTCTTTGTTCTCTTCAAATGCTCTTATTCTCTTGCTCACTTCTCGATGACTCATTTCTCTTAGTGGAAATGAGAAAACTGGTGGAGCCAAAAGAGAAAGAAAACAAAAATAGAAAATGCAGCTGGAAATAAATAAATAGGCTGAGGGATTAGTCATCATGAGGGGAATTCGGAAACTTTTCTTGTGTGGTTTTTGGTTGCTTATCCTCTTTTTTGATACCCTGATTCATGGATATAGATGTTGGTATATTGGGGAGATTAGAAAAAAGAATCTCGGAGGGATACGGTGGCATTTTGGACGGTAATCTCTAGGATAAAACGGGTTTAGGGTGTAAAAAGGACAAAAGGGTGGTTTAATAGGAATCCATTAATGGATTAGTGGTCCAGAAATGTCAGTGGAAGAGGTTTAAGATGTATCAGGCTAGAAACATACCACCAGTAGGCCAACAACGGACCAATGGTGGCTTGCCGGTCTGAACGGATTAAAAATGACTAATAGAGCTTGTAACGTACTAGGACTAGGAACGGACTATAAACGGACCACCAGCAGGCGAATAGTGGCTAAATTTTTTTGCTTGTTGGTCTGAGCTGCCAAAAAGCGGTTCAAAAACAGACAGACAAAAGCTGGGTTAGGAATCCTAACTTAGGATCATGAACTTTGAACGGACCAACAGCGGACCAACAGCAGACCATCGATGTCTTGGCGATCTTAGCGGCCCAACAGCGGCTGAACAGTTGATGAACAATATCTGGCTTATGACTATGTAGTAGAAAATGTGCTCTATTGTACGATACCTACCGTACTCCATCCGTTGTACGTGATGTAATTTAATCCCATATATCTCGATTCCTGTAGAAGATATCAAAATGTGGTCAACTGAAAAAATGTTCATCATAATGCCAAAAATATTTTATCAGTTGACAACTTTTTATATCGTTTACAGTAACCTAGATAAATTTGCTTAAAGTGAGATGTATGTAGTTTCACCTCTTGGAAAACCTCTCAAAGAAAAGCTTGTGATTTTTGCACCTGCATGGAAAAAATTAGAAAAGACATAGTCACACCCTGATGGCTATTCTAATTGGGTGGTCTCGAGAATTTCCATGTTTTTCATAGTTTGTGTCCATGTGATCAGTTATCAGCTGCTTCTAGTATTATGCAAAACTTCGAATTTAAAGTACAAGGTTTTAAATAAAGGATTGGAATTTTTTAGAAAATCTGAAAAAATTGAAACCTTGGAAGTTTTGAGACTTTTTTGGGGGCCGTTTTCTAGTTTAGAGATCCCAAAAAAGCCAATTTACAATGGGAACAATGAAATTCTTTAGCAAATAGACATTTCCAGATTTTCGCTGTCACAATTTTTAAAGTCGCGATTCCAAGATCCCCAAAAACTGAACTTTTGATTTTCGAATTTTCAGATCCTAGACTTCAGATTCTGAAGTCTTCTGACGACGTCAGAGCTAAAACTTGTGACATTTTTCGTATTCTTCAATTTTTTGTTATTAGAAGAAGATTCAGGCAGAAGGACAGTTACGAAATGGATTCATTTTTATTGGAGTTGTTTGATTGAGATTTAGGAAAAAAATTGAAATTTCTGACAGATCACACGGAAGTTGGAATAGATCAAATGGGAATAATCTTGGGGTAGAACATAGTTCAGGGATTTGAAATTTGCGAAAATTCGAAAATCCGGGAATTCAAAAGTTTTTGAATCTCCGGAAGCTCAGAAATTCGGAATTTCTCAGAATCGAAATTTTTGAGAATCATCGAAAACTTCGAAATTCGAGGAAATTCGGAAACAGAGGAATTCAGAAATTCGGAAATTCAGCATTTCAGAAAATAATAAAATTGCTGAAGTTCAGAAGTTTGGAAATTCGGCGATTCTAGGAAAACGGAAACAGAAACATTTAGATCATTTAAAAATACGAAAATCCCGTAAAATTCAGAAATTCAGAATACTCATAAAATAAGAAAATCCAAAGATACAAATAGGATTTCTGAACTTCGAAAAAACATTCGGAAAATAATAAAAAGTTCCATGAAGTTCCAGAAAATTCCGAAAATTTCGAAACTTCAAAAAAGTTCTGAATATATGAAACATCGAAAAATCGAAATTCCAGATAAATTAACAAAAAGTTAAAAAACTAAAGAATTTCCAAAAAATCTAAAAAAACTTTTTAAGATTTTAAAATTCCTAAAATTTCAAATTTTCTAGGAGAATATAATTTTGATCTACCAAAATCCAAAAATGCGCCAAAATGTTTTTTTAGTGGTTTTTTTAAAACAACAAAAAAAAATGAAAATTCAAGTTTTTGAGCTGTTTTTCAACCGTTTTCAGGTTTTCTGAATTTCTGGAATTTTCGATTTTCTAATAATTTGAATTTTCTATGATTTTTGGGTTCCCAAAAGTTCTAAAGGCCTAAAATTTTGTGTTTCTGATTCTCTGAGTTTTGTGAATTTTAGAATCTTTTCTGTTAAAACTTTCAAGAGCAAATTCAAATTTCCATGTTGCTCAATTTATGAAAAGTGCACTCAAAAATTTGATTTTCCAAGAAACAAAAATTCTGACTCATATTTTACCTATTTAATCTCTCCAACTAACCGTCCTTCACACACACCTCAAAACCGACCCTTTGTACACATTTTTCTTCTTTATTTCTCCATTTCTCTGTCTGCGTCCCCCACTCTCTCGCCTGCTTCTCTAACACTCTCTCTCTCTTCGCCACACTCTCTCGTTTTCTCCGTTCAACAACGCATTTTTCATCACCCACACAAAACTTTTATCAGCGATGATTATTGCTGATTTTTTCGAGAATTTTTTAAAAAGTTTTTTTCTTGTGATTCTTCGAAAATTGGAATTTAAGAAAAAATTTCCAGAATGGTCAAAATCGACCCGATTTATGCACAAGAACTACGAAGCTCCGGAGTTACGTTGGCCGCTGTGGTAAGGGTTTTATTTGAGAAGTTTTTGAAATAAAATTAATGGTTGTTATGGTTAGAATGAGCAATTTGGAAAAGAAACTCTTTTGAAGAGCAATTCGGAAAATTTGGTTTTCAAACAAAATAATTTTCCATATTTCATAAAATCAATTTTTAATTCTTCTGTTGGAAATTTTGGCTTCTTAAGACTTGGAAATTCAAAACTTCTGAAATTCTGAAACGCTGAATGTCAGAAATTCTGTAAAAGTTTCGAAATTCAAAAGTTTATAAATTCAGAAGTTCGAATATTGAAAACTCAATAAATCAGAAAATCAGAAAATCTGAAATTCTGAAAATCAGAAATTCAAAAATTCAGAAATTTTGAACTTCAGAAGTTCAGAAATCCAAAAATTCAGTAAATCAGAAATTTCAAAATTCTGAAATTCTGAAACACTGAAGTTCTGAAATTCTGTTAAAGTTCTGAAATTCAAAAGTTTGAAAATTCAGAAGTTTAAAAAACTCGAAAATTCAAAAGTTCTGAAACTCAAAGGTGCAAAATTTCAAAAAGTCAAAAATTCAAAATTTCAGAAATTCAAATTTCGAACATTCAAAATATTAGAAAATCAAAAATTCGAAATTTTGGGACAGTTTGATTTACCCAATAGAAAAGTTTCAGAGGCTCTTAGAAATTCTGGGTTTTCAAGAAATTCAGAAATTTCAAAACATTCAAAATATTGGAATTTTTTGGAAAATCTAAAATTCCAGAATATTCGGAAAGTTCTGGAAAGTTACTGAAAATTCAAAAGTCCTGAAAAACAAAAATTTTGAATTTCCGAATTCACCAATTCTTGAAGTTTTCCGAAGTCTCTAGAAACTCTGAACTTTCTGCAAATTCAGAAATCCGGAATCTCAGAAATTGAAAAACTTACAATTTCAGATTTTCTAAAACGCTAGCTTCAAAGGTGAAGGGACATGAAAAAAATAATGCTCTCGAAATTCCGTTTAAATATGCCCCTCGAGAAGTTGAACTTGTCGAGACAAGTATTGAAGGTGCGGCGCCGCTACCGACTGAGCCACGCGGGCAAAGGGGAAGCCGGCGCCCGAATGCATACATAAAGGCGAGGACGACCGCTGTACGCAGAGTGACATTAAGCGTTGTACACCGTCACGGTAGAATGCACACCCTAGCTACAAAAATCCTACGAAAAATCTCCAAAAATTCAAACATATATTTCAAAAATTCAAACATATATTTTTCAGTACCTCGGCAGTATTCCAGTCCAAGAATCAATGAGTGTGATGGTCAGCGAGATGAGGTCACAAGTTGTGGGGTAAACATTTTTTTGAAAAGATTTTTTTTTGATTTGAAGTTTCAGAGAGTGCATACAAATAGTAGCGGCCAAAGTCGGACTGACTCCAGAGCGAGATGTCAATCCGATTGTTGCACGGGTGAGTTTTTTTTGCAAGATCAAAAATTCCAAAAATCTCAAAATTTTGAAAATTCTGAAAATTCCAAAAAATATTCAAAAATATAAAATATCACAAGAAATCTAAATATTTGATTTTGAAATTCTAAAAATCGACGAATCCCAAGAATCCCGTGGGTCCAGAAAATCACTAGAAATGCCAAGATTCCAAAAGTTCCGAAAATTCCAAAATTTCTGGAAATCTGAATATGCTAAGAATCTTGAGAATGTAAAGAATCCAAAAAATCCCAAAAATCTCAAAATTTTCAAAATTTTGGAAAAAGAAACCAGGAAAATTCTAAGAATTCCCGAAAGTTCCAAAAAAAACCCGAGAAAACCCAAATATGCCAAAAATCCCGATAATTCCAAAGTTTTGAAAGTTCTGAAATTGAAGAAAAAGTTGATATTCTGGAACTCTGAGAATTCGAACCATCCCAAAAATCCCGAAAATCTCTAGAATTCCAAGAACCACAAGAATCCCAAGAATCCAAAATTCCAAAATTTCAAGATTCCTAGATTCCGAAATTCCAAGATCCTGAGATCCCGAGATCCTATAAACCTGACAGGTTTAAGAATCCTAAAAATCGATATTTCTAGATCATCGGCGAAGTGAAACAAGAGAACTTCAATGTCGACCTGAACATCTCCTCAAAAATGGTGAAAGTGATAAGATCGAGTCGTCTCATTCAACGACACCCCCTCTCGTTCTTCTCATTTGGCTCACAAGGACAACGTGGCACGGACACTGAGAACATGTTCGGGTATATCGCCAAAAATAAGAATGGAGAGGATCGACGATGCCACGTCATGTCGAGTAAAGCAGTTCAGAAGCTTCTGGATACACTGGTGGCGGCGATTCAAGTGAATACAGAAGACGCAAAGGCCAAGGAGATGGCTGAGAATCCACAAGCGGCAAGCACGTCTGGAACGTCAGGTAGGAAATTTTAGATTCTTAGGATTCTTAGAATTTTTAGGATTCTTAGGATTCTTAGGATTCTTAGGATTCTCTTTTCCAGGCCCCTCATCGACTGACCCACTCAGACCGCCCAAATTCACTTGTACAGAATACGTGGCACTCGGCAGAATCACACTGGTTTATGAGAATGTCAAAAACCAACCGTGGTATCATGGACACATTTCGCGGGACATTGCTCAGTCGCTCATTCGGCAGCCCGGCGACTTTTTGGTACGGTGCAGCGATCATACGACGGGAAAGTTTGTGTTGAGTGGAATGACCGAGCATGGAGATCACAAGCATTTGATATTGTTGGATGAGAAGAATGTGAGTTTGGCATGACACTGACTTTGAGCTAAATTATCAGGCTTTCTGTGAATGATATCAAAAAGTTGTCAATTGATAAAAGGTTTATCATAATATCACAATCATTTTATCAGTTGACAGCTTCTTGATATCTTTCACAGAAATGGAGATAATTTGAGTTCAAAGTGGCTCAAAAACTGAACATAAATTTTGAGCCATTTTGAGGTATTTTTAAGAATTAAGGGTCAAAATTAATGTCAAATTTCTCAGCAAAAAATGATTAGGGATCCATAAATGGACCCATATCAAATTTAAAAAAATCAAAATTTTAACTAATTTAAAACTCAAAATTATATTTTCAGCAAGTTCGAACGCCGGAGAAAACGTTTCCCACAATCACGGAACTCGTCAGATCCCACATGGAAAACGGCCAGCCAGTTCGGTCGGATGGGCCGCAAAACCAGACGGCGTTGATGCTGGAAAATGCAATTCCTCGAGGATGAAATTTCGAAAATTTTGTAGGTGTGGATTGTAACTATTTTTGGAAATTACCTTTTTTTGTCTTCTGTATTATTTATTTCCTTTTGTGTTATTTTCAGTATTTTTTATTTTCCTATTTTTTCATATTCGTTTATTTTATTGATGATATACATATGTGACATGGTTACAGTAAATTTTGAGGTCTCATTTTTAGGTTTATGGGCATGAGGCATTCTAAAAGTCCAAAATTCAAATTTTCAGACACTTTTTTCTGTGCCCTGGACACCGGGGTTTCCTGGATAATGTGGCTTTTAGTATAAAGTTCTCTAACTTTGAACCCATTTACCTCGCCTCCTGTGAAAGATATAAAAAAGTGGTCAACTGATAAACTGTCGGTCATATTGTGATGAATGTTTTACCAGTTGACAACCTTTTAATATCTTCTACAGGAACCGAATTAGGTTATAAAGCATCAGTGATGCCGACCGCGTGGCTCACTAGCAGCGCGCGCTTTGAGCCAATTTATCTCGGTTACTTTAAGAGATATCAAACAGTAATAAAATGATAAAATGTTTTTGATAATATGATAAACATTTTATCAGTTGACCACTTCTTGATATCTTTTATAGAAACCAAGATATATTAGCATGAAGTAAGTGGGCCGTTGATAGAAGGACCCTTAACTTTGAATCATTTTATCTCGCTTCCTGTGAGAGATATCAATAACTAATAAATTGCTAAAACGTTGTTCATGTTTTGATAAATATTTTATCAGTTGACCACGTTTTGATATCTCCTAAAGGGACCGAGATAATCTGGGTGAAAGTTAGAGGGTCCCCTCCGCAAGGAAAAAAATTACCAAATTTTCCGAAGCTTTCCTTCTCAAGAGTCAAGACCTACCAAGAAAAAAAAGGAAAGTAGCAAATTGCGTAATCGAGGGAAAAGAGAGAGAGAGAGAGAGAGAGAGAGAGAGAGAGAGAGAGAGAGAGTCACTTATAAGACTCACTTCTTTCTCGTCATATACGGTATAATTAGGGGGAGTATTTTGTGAAGAATAGATGTCCTTCTACAGTAACATGTCATTACCATCCCCGTCTCCTTCTTTTTTTGCCTTCCAAAGAATTTCTGCGTTGCGCTCCAATTATATGTCCCCCTCCTCCGATTCTTACGCCATCCCACCGTCACGTCTTCTGTATTCTGAAGACCGCCCTTCTTTTTTGTGGCTTTTTTACTTTTAAGGCGATCAAGGTTTTTTTTTTTGGGAGATGAGGTTTTTCTGAGTTTTTAAATGCTTTTTCTTTGGGTGCAGGATCTTTGAAATTTGCAATTTTTGACTTCGAAAATCTTCAAATTTTAAGCTATTTCTTCTTGATTTTCTGCTTAAAATCGGTCATTTCTGGGTAGAAAATCCTCAAATTGTGAATTTCGAGTCCAAAAATTGACATATTTGGCTCTAAAATTATTAAAATTCAGCCTTTTTTCTCTAATTTTTGACCCAAATTTTGTCACTTTTGGCTCTAAAACCCCCAAATTTCATGATTTTTTCTCCGGATTTTCTGCTGAAAATCAGTAATTTTGGACTCCAAAATCTTCATATTTTGAAATTTTTCCTTCGGCTCTAAAACCTTTTTTCCTTCGGCTCTAAAAAAGCAAAATGGAAATTTTCAATAACAAAAACCTCAAATTTCAGAATTTTTTTTCTAACTTTTGACTCAATAGTTGGTATTTTTAACCCTTAAAGTCATTAATTTCCAGTCAATTTTTTCTGAAAAATTCCGAATTTTCAGCCATTTCCTTTCCAATGATTCAATTTCTTTGGATCATTGGATGGTCTACAATATTTGCCCCACTTGTTCTTTCCTTGGCCATTGTCGACACTTCCATTGCTTGTGATAAGGTAGGCAGCCTAGAAAAGTTGGTTTCGATGAAGTTAGGCCAGCGAAAACTAAACCTAGGTAACCATGAGCAAAGTTAGGCCACACAGAAAACTAATTCATAAATTGACTGAATTTGATAAAGTTAGGCCAGCAAAAATACAAAGCGTGGCCTAGAAACATAGTGGCCTAGGAAAATCCTTAGTTGATAGAGTTAGGCCAGCCGTAAGAAAGCCTAGGTCATCATTTTTGATCGTGTAGTTGTGTGTCAAAAGCTAAACATGACCTAGAAACATAGTGGCCTAGAAAAACCCGGATTTGAATAAGTTAAGCTAGCAATAAAAAAATCTAGGTCATCATAGGAAAATCTAGAAACATAGTGGCCTAGAAAAAGCTGGACTTGAAAAAGTTAGGCCAGCCTAAAAAACCAATTTTTCCAGACAGATTTTCTTCTAAAAATCAAATTCGACGACGTCTTCCGAGGTACGATACAAAGTCGATCGGGCAGCCCAAAGTGTATTTATGCAAATGGAACATTACAACCAGACACCAAATATCAGTTGAAGGTTAGAATTTTTAAATAGGATTATATAATGTTTGTCTACTGTAGATTCCACTGAAAGGATGCTCAACCAAGGAGAACGGCGAGGGAAATTTGGAGAACGAGATTGAAGTGGTGATGGCGAATAATAATGAGTGAGGGATATTTTGAAAAAATTGAAATTTTTAAAAAATTACAGAAATTCAGAAATTCAGAAATTCAGAAATTCAGAAATTCAGAGAATTCAGAAATTCAGAAATTCAGAAATTCAGAAATTCAGAAATTCAGAAATTCAGAAATTCAGAAATTCAGAAATTCGGAAATTCAGAAATTCAGAAATTCGGAAATTCAGAAATTCAGAAATTCAGAAATTCAGAAATTCAGAAATTCAGAAATTCAGAAACACAGAAATTCAGAAATTCAGAAATTCGGAAATTCAGAAATTCAGAAATTCAGAAATTCAGGAAACACAGAAATTCAGAAATTCAGAAATTCGGAAATTCAGAAATTCAGAAATTCAGAAATTCAGAAATTCAGAAATTCAGAAATTCAGAAATTCAGAAATTCAGAAATTCAGAAACACAGAAATTCAGAAATTCAGAAATTCAGAAATTCAGAAATTCAGAAATTCAGAAATTCAGAAATTCAGAAATTCAGAAATTCAGAAATTCAGAAATTCAGAAATTCAGAAATTCAGAAATTCAGAAATTCAGAAATTCAGAAATTCAGAAACACAGAAATCCAGAAATTCAGAAATTCGGAAATTCGGAAATTCAGAAATTCAGAAATTCAGAAATTCAGAAATTCAGAAATTCAGAAATTCAGAAATTCAGAAATTCAGAAATTCAGAAATTCAGAAATTCAGAAATTCTGAAACTCTGAAATTCAGAAATTCAGAAATTCAAAAATTCAGAAATTCAGAAATTCAGAAAGTCAGAAATTCAGAAAAAAAAAAATCTTAAAATTTAAATTTTTCCAATTTCTTTCTTCCAATTTCCAAAAACAATTTTCAAAAAAAATTTCAGATTCAACGCTGAAACTGACAAGCGCTTCCTGCTCACCTGCATACCTGCCGCCCCAGTTCCAAAGTAACTTTTAATCACAAAAAAAATCGAAATTTCAAAATTTCAGAGAATCTCAAGTTACCGTATCCTTCGGTGGCATCACAATCAATTCAGATGCCACAACCGCAAGTAGTTTGCTGAATAATCAGGTTAGTGAACATCTGGACAAAAAGATGAACCAAAAGAAAAATGAAATTTTCGCAAAATTTGCTATTGATTGGTATATTTTTCATAGAAAATGGAGCATTTTGAGCTATGAGCAAAAACTTGAAACTTTCCAAAAAAAAATTTGATTTTTTATAGATTTTTGAATATCAAATCTAGTTTACATAAAAATTCTGAGAGAAAAAAACCATATTTCTCGGCTCAAAATGTTCCACTTGTCATGAAGAATATATTAATCAATAGGGAATTTTTTTGGAGTTTTACAAAAATTTTTAATAAAAAATCTGAAATCGATTTTTTCAGACAGTTGACTATCGAGTACGCGTTTTGGATGGGGCCAGTTTGGATGCCAAGCAATTGCAGAGGCCGTTAGCTGTTGAAGATAAAGTGGTGGGATTTTGAATTTTTGGGAAATTCGAAATTTTCAAAAAAAAATGTCTGAAAATTTCAGAAAAGGTATATTTTCAGACCTACACCGTTGAGATGAAGGATGGGCAAAATGGCCGGATAGGCAGGTGTGGGCAAATGATGGCATTTCGGAACTGCCACTTTCGGATGGCCAGGGTTGCTCATTGCAAACTTCTGGAGAGGTGGGGGCATTTTTTTGTTTTGAATTTTTGAATTTTGGCACTTTTGAATTTTCTAAAAAGTAATCTAATCTAATCAATACTTTTAGGTTTGGGGTGATTTTGAAGTATCTCGACGGAACGGGAAGACCATTTTCTACAACCATATAAAAGCATGGGCATTTCCAACAAGGTAAGGTTTTCAAAAAATCTCGGTTCATGTGAGAGATAACAAAAAGTTGTCAACTGATTAAATGTTTATCATAATATCAAAATAATTTTATCCGTTGACAAACTTTTAGTATCTCTTATGGGAACCGAGATAATCGAGCTCAAAATTTGAGTATAGGATGAGGTACGGGGGGCGCCCCTATCTTTGACTCGATTTATCTTGGTCCCGGTGAAAGATTTTGAAAACTTGTCAACTGAAAAAGTTTTTATCATAACATCAGGATTATTTTATCAGTTGACAAAATTTTGGTATCTTTTATGGGAACCGAAATAATAAAGCTCAAAGTTTGAATGTAGGGTGAGGTATGAGTGGCACCCGTATCTTTGAGGGCCCCCTAACTTTGATCCAATTTATCTCGCTGCATGTTAAAGATATCAAAAAGTTATCAACTAATGAAATGCTTATCAAAGTACAAGAACAATTGTACTAGTTGACAACATTTTGATATCTTTCATAGGAATCGAGATATTGAAGCTCAACGGGGACCCTTATCACAGGTTTCGAGGTTACAAGTCCTATTTCTAACCCTAGAATTGCTATTTTTTCCAGCAACGAAGTGAACATCTTCTGCAATCTTCACGTCTGCGTAACCTGCTCCCAACCCACCTGTCGTGGTCGTGAACGTCGTCACCACTCATCTGAATCCCCGATCGCCGATCCCTTCACCTCCTCCATTGACGTCTCTGATATATCCCCTCCCATCGCCGTTCGAACATCGTTCCGTTTAAAACGAGAGAATCAAAATCAGGCTCGTCTGGAGACATCGCCTTCCGCCGTCTCCACGTCTTCCTCTTCTGCCAATCACGTCTTCTTCCTCCTTGTCCTCCTAATTGCTGCTTCAGGTGTCTTTGCATTTTAGTCGTCGTCAGCTTTCTTTCTTCCGCCGTTTTTAATAAAAATTTTCTCATGAGGAACATAATAATTGGGTGTCTTGTTCATGTCTACACATGAATGATTTTTCATTGGCAGGAAAATTTGTTGAGAATCTTGGCAAAATGGTTAAGTGGCGATTGAAAAGTAAGCTGGAACTGGTAGTGCTGTTCAAGGTCAGAAGTGGCCAGGGACCGCCGTCGAGGTACCCGAATAGCGAGAAAACGTTTAGATAAAGTAGATAAAATGCTTCTTAATTTCTGAAAATTTCAAAAGAATCGGAAAACCGGGATCAGAGATACAGTAGTTTGAAGTTGGAGGAGGCGCAGCGCGGTTGAATCGCGGGCGACCCTCTGCTTTATAAGAATGCTTCTCAGCTGCTGGTTGACCTAGAAATTTGAAATTTGGTACAAATAAAGAACCTATATTTATTCACATTTTCAAAAATTTCGAAAAAATGGACCACTGGGACCAGAGATACGGTAGTTTTAAGTTGGAGGAGGCGCAGCGCGGGCGCGTCGCGGACGATCCTTCAACTTCATTAAGCTACTTCTCCGTTGTTAGTTGACTTAGAATCTTGAAATTTGGCACATATACAGAGCAAAAATGTTTCTACGTTTTCTGAAATTTTCAAAATAGTAGGACATCTGGGACCGGAGATAGGTCATTTGAAGTTGGCGGGGTGGTGGCAGGGATCAGAATTTTCCCGACCTTTGTTGTTTTTTAACCTCTGGTTCTACACAGCGCGTTTCAATATAGTCGAATTGGGTATCATTTTGTGGATATCGTCAAGTTCTACAGTTTGAATTTTGATTCAATGAAAAATGTTAATTTTGAACTGAGTTACAGCCTGTAGACGACCACAGTTCATCCGTTAATTTTGAGTCGACCCACGGCCTGTTTTTACAGCTTCTTGTTTGTGGTTCCCGACACTTCTATAACATTTTGTATCTGTTCTTTAGTTTCTGGTTTCCCTCTAGGTGCATACATGCACTTTATCAGCGAAACTGTTATCAGATACTCTCCACTAATTGTAAAAGTTAATAAGGAACTGGTTGGGTCGTAAAACTGATCAGCTGATTGTATATTTACATATTCCAACTACGGTTCCTGGAATATTAAGGTACCTCAAATCCAAGTTTGACAGTGTAGCGCGATTGCTTTGATGTTATGAAGTCCTTACACAACACCAGGAAGCTCAGCGATCACCAACCATCGACAGCTCCCCTGGCTGACGCGGACCTTTCCAGACAACCTAATACAATGAACCTTTTCAAATGTTTCTAGCATTTTTTGATTCCACAAGTGGTTCCTCAATTCTGGACCAACGGGGCCTTCCAGGGGTCCCCTCTCCAAAAAGTTTCCAACAAAAAATAAGGATTTTTTCATGCTCGTCTATCAGGAACTTCTTTGTTCCATTCCTTTTCTTTGTCGGTTGGCTGCTTGGCTGCTTGTGTCTTTCTTCAAAACGCGTGCGCGCTAAAATCCGTGCATACAGACAGGCAAGACAGACGCGTGGTGGTGATTTATTTGTGGTTTTGGGCACCACCACGCTCATCTCTCACTTCCCGCCTTCCCCTTTTCTTCTAAATGGGGCATCCAAAAAGACAAAGAGATATGATTGATGACGTGGCTGGAGAGGGGCGAACCTTCAATCCGTCCCGCCGGGAATTTCGGAGTCGTGAGTTTTTGGAAATTGAGTAAAAGTTGAAAGATAAGACATTTAAAAATCTGTTATCCCAAACGAAGCTTGTCGTGAAGCTTACCGTAAGAACTAGATAAGCTGAACGTAAGAGCGCCACTTCTATGAGCTCGATTATCTCGATTCCTATAGAAGATATCAAAAAGTGGTCAAATGATAAAATGTTTGTCATAATATAAAAAAAACATTTTTCGGTTGATAGATTTTTGCAATCTTTCACAGGAACCGAGATAATTGAGCTTGAAACTGCGTATGGCTCGCGTGGCGCCGCTACCGTACTTCTTTGAGCCTTGAGACTTTGAGCTCATTTATCTCGATTGCTCTAAAAGATACCAAAATCTGTCAACTGAGGAAATGCTTATTATAATATGAAAAATATTTTATCAGTTGACAAAATTTTGATATCTCTTATAGGAACCGAAATAATTAAGCTCAAATAAAGTGGTGAATAGGGTACTGTTCTAGGGGTTAGAAGTCATGTTCTACGGGCTGAACCGGATGACTAGTATCTTATCTTATCACCAGTCAAAACAAAATGTCAAAAAATCATATCAATTGAGATCAGGAAAACTGTAAAAATAACTTCCGTGCATAATAATTATCCTATCTAATCAACGGCAGTGACCTAACTTCCCGTCCATGCCTTACACTTGACCTTTTTGAGCTCAAACATCTCAGCTCCTATAAAAGATATCAAAAATCTGTCAACTGGTAAAATGTTTATCATAATATCAGAAACATTTTATTAATTGACAGATTTTTGACATCTCTCATGGGAGCCGAGATAATTGAGCTCAAAGTGGGCAAGTACGGTAGTTTTGCCGACCGAGCTGCGCTAAATTTGAGCCGCTATTATCTCACTTCCTGTAAGAGATATAAAAAATTTGCCAACTGATAAAATAATTGTCATAACATCATTAACATTTTATAACTTTACAGATTGTTGATATCTCTTGTATGAGCTGAGATAAATGGGCTTTATAGAAGTGCCACAAGAAATCCTGTAAAATGGTCCCTCTAGTCCTTTCTCTCTTAAATAAATTCCTATAAAAAATTCATGCAAAATTTCCATACTACAAGGTGGTTGTGATTGATTTCCCTTTATACATTCTATCCAATGACATTTACCCTCTATCTCAATTGCCATGCAAATTCCCCATGAAGTATGTGTTCCATATGCCTTTTGGCGGCAAAGAGCTCACTCCACCCCGAACAATTGAATTAATATGTACAGAAAAGAGAGGCCCTATGCGTGATTCTTGACAAATTGAGAAAGAGATAGAAAGAGAGAGATAGAAAGAGAGAGATAGAAAGAGAGAGAGAGAGAGAGAGAAAGAGAGAGAGAGAAAGAGAGAGAGAGAGAGAGAGAGAGAAAAAAGCTCCAGAATCGTATGTCACTGGGACAGATGGAGAGCCAAAAACTGTAGAATGAAGGATGGAGGGGGCAGATGGAGGAAAAAGATAAGTCGAGAGGTCACAAGATTAGTGGCCGGGGATCAGTTTCTGTGTGTCCAGATGTCCTCCACGAAGTAAACTTTGTAATATATACCGTAAAACCTGTATTAGAAAAGCCCCTGTAATAGAAGGACCTTCCGTAGGAACCTTGGAACAACGACCCTTCTAGCACAGGTATTACGGTAGTTTGGAAGTCTAATAACTTCGAACACCTGGCTCCATTCATTCCTTTTTTTTTGTTGTTTTTTGTTTTCATTTTTACAAAATGACACCTGTCCGACATTCCCAAATGTTTCTTTTTTCACAGGTTTTGCAGCTGGGCCCTTATCTTTTTATATGGGTTCAAGTGGATGACCCACTTGACATGACCTATGGGAAAATGGCAAAAAATTGAACTTTATTGTTTTTAAAGAAAATTTTGGGAATCTTAAAATGTGCGATTTTCAGATTTTACAGAAATTTGGATTTTTCAAAATTTTCAGATATTTTGAATTTTTCAGATTTTACAGACCTCTTAATGTTGTGAAGCTATGTGAAATTTAATTCGTAATTTTGAAATTCGGAAATTCGGAAATCCCAAAATTCCAAAATTCAGAATCTTCCAGAACCTTTCAACGTCTTCTTTTCAACTAAATCCAATTTCATTCTGTTCCATTTTCTCCTGAAAAAAGAACGAAAAAAAGAGTTCCATTTTCTTCTTTTTCTCCCTTGTCACTAATCTCTTTTCACTTTCCAAAACCAAAATTTCGTAAGTTTTGTGTATGTCCCAAAAACGCAAACCAAATTACACAATGTGCACTTTTCAAAACCCCAAAATTTGGTTCGTTTGGGTCCGATTGTCTAGAATCTTCTGAATAGAAATCATAGTTTTAGGAAATTCGGGAGATAGAAAGTTGTAGGATTTAGGGTTCAAAAATCAGAATGTTCAAAAATAGTAAAAAATGTCTTGAGCCGAATTTCAAACAGCTTCACAGAATCAACAGCTTCTTAAAATCTGAACATCGTTAATGCCACATTTTCAGATTTCCTAATTTTCTATAAAAATCATGAAGTTTCATTTTTGCCATTTTCTCATGGGTGATGGGGTATCCACTTGAACCCCTACATAAAAAAGAAGAGCCCAGCTGCAAAACCTGTGAAAAAAGGAATAATTGGGAATGTCGGACAGGTGTCATTTTCGTAGTATGTAAACATTTTTTTTTCAAAAAACAGAATTAAAAAATGAAGCCAGGTGTTCGAAATTTTTTAGACTTTCAAACTACCGTAATACCTGTATTAGAAGGGTCGGTCCCTCTATTGTTCCAAGATAACTCCGGCGGGCCCTTCTATTAAAGGGGCCCTTCTAATACAGGTTTTACGTTATATATTACAAAGTTTGCTTCATGGAGGACATCTGGACACACAGAAACTGATCCCCACCCACTAATCTTGAAATTTCAGAATTTCAGAATTTCAGAATTGCCAGGAATTCCTGGCAATTTTTGGATTTTCTGATATTTTTGGCATTTTCTGAAGTTTCGACCATTTTCAGATTTTCTGAAGAAATTCCAAAAATTTTGAAATCTTAAAAAATCCGAAAACTCGAAAACTCGGAAATTCGGAAAGCGGAATTTCCAGAAATCTGAAAAAAATATCACTGAATTTTCAAAACTATCCCAAAAACTGAAAAATCACAAAAACTCAAAAAAAAGTTCAAAAATGCTAAAAATTAAAAACTTGAGAATTCAAAACTCCAGGCTCCAAACCTCCACAAAAAATTCTAAGAATGTTTTTTCTACTTTTTTGCTGATGTTGAAACGAATGGGAGGGACAGACCGACACACATACCGACATAAATCAAAACTAACCAAAATCGATCGAAAACTCCAAAAAATACTTTTTTCGGGGGCGCACCCTAAAAAGAGTGCTCTCTCTCTCTCTCTCTCTCTCTCTTCCGAGTTTTATCAATGAGGCTTCCTCTCCTCTCCTCCACACATATTTATTACAGGCAGCATCATCAAAAAAAAAAGTGTTGTCTCTGATTCTCTGCGTCTCCTACTCTCTCCCTCTCTACTGTTCAGAATCTGATAACCCCCCGAACCAACATCACTCAGAGTCTCTACATAGGAGGGACCTCTCCCGACAAGAAAATAGGCTCCGCCCACCACGGCCATCCACTGTTTGGGTCATTTGTCAATTGAGAGAGGAGAGACTGGTGTCTTCTCCCTTCTTTTGTTTCTTTTCCTCTTCTTCCTTCTCCTCATTCCAAACCCCTCTTACCACCCCAATTTTCCATTATCACACACATATAATGGGACCATTTCGTGGTTTCCTATCGGCTACTTTTCTTTTTTTGCTCTTTGCCCGAGCCCATGGTCAGCGTTGTCAACGAGTCGATCACGAGATGTGCGCAGAGTTGCCGTATAATTTGACAAGGTGGGTGTGCATTTTTGTTTTTTCAAATTGCATGGGACGCGACTATTTTTGTCTTGATTAGGGGTACTTTTTGGGTAGATCGCAATTTGATTTTTAAAAATTCATTTTTGCCACTTTCAGCCTGGGTTTTCACAGATTTTCTTACAGTAATGCTGTTCCAATACCGATTTTAGACAGTTTTTAACCAATTTCAGTTGTTTTTGAACTTTTTAAAATTGTTTTTTGTGCTATAATAAGCCAATTTTAAAACGACCATATCTTAGTTATTTGTCAACCAAATTCATTTAAACTTGTATTTTTGAATTCAGCTCATTTTTAGCTTTAAAATGAGTATAAAGATGACCTAGTTTGGCAAAAATTAATTTCGAACTACGGTACTTTTTGGTAGGTCAAAATGTTTGAAATTTCATTTTCAACTATGCTAAACTTTTTCTCTCTGCTGTTTCAAGAAAAATTCCAACCAGATTCAGCAATTTCTGGACCTTTTAAGACGTTTCAGCTACATTAGCTTAATTTTAATGTTACCGTATCTCGATTATTTTTTAACCAAATTTTATGAAACCTGTATTTTTGAATTCAGCATATTTTCAGCTTTAAAATGAGTATAAACATGACATAGTTCGATTTTTTAAAAAATTTTGTGAGCTACGGTTGTAGTTTAAGATTTTCGGAACTAGTTTTGATGCAGTTTTGGGATTTCAAATTCTTGAATTAATATTTCAACCTTCTTCCGGCTTTTTTGATTTCGAGCGATTTTTCATCAATTCCCGCCCCAAAAAGTTCTTTTGAGCTACTTAAACCATTCCATACTAATGAAAACCTAAAGGTGTTACACCTCCACTTCTTTCTCAATAAAATGGAAAAAGAAAGAGAGCCCAATCCACCGGAGCAATCGAGCATCGCCCATTTCCAAGATTTACGAGCCATCTATCAATTTGTGTGTGAGCATTTTTCCTATGAGATGCGCACACATTCTGTTATTATATTGCCACCTGTTCAGGCGTTTTTTTTTGCCAGCTTTTTTATTTGGAAAGGAACCATCGGGTTTTTTTGAAGCTAGATACATTTCAAAAGGGTCATATCCTGGTAACTTTTTGACCGAATTCAATTGAACTTAAATTTTTGAATTTGGCTTGTTTCGAGCTTTCAAATGAGTATAAACATGACCTAGTTTGGAAAAAAAAAGATTTTGCGAGCTCAGCTCAGCTCAGCTCAGTAGCTCAAAAACTCTAATATTTGGCCTGAAAAGTTCCAAATCTTTCTGCATATTTCATCAGCCAATTTCCTACCTCGTTTTCTGTCATTCTGTCGGGAGCACACACACGGGGAGCCATTTACGACCCCCATATCATACTGATATGACTACTGATAAGTGATCGATTGGAGGCGGGACGGAGAATAAATTGTATTTGGTAAAAGAGTGTGGGGGAATGCATAGAAAAAGGAATATGTATGCAGCTATGTGAGAAAATATGATCTACGCGGTTGAATGCGGACCCAATGCGCATTTAAGCTATAGTCATTTTCAAACCATTATTATTGGCTACTTTTTGACGAAACTGTATGAAACTTAAATTTTTAAGTTCAACTTGATTAGAGCTTCAAAATGAGTACAAGCATGACATTGTTTGGAGAAAAAATGTGTAGCGAGCTACGCGATTGAACTTTCCCTATGTGCCTTTGAGATAGAACCATTTACAAATGACCGTATCTCGTCTAATTTTCAACCAAAATTTTGAAACTTATATTTTTGAGTTTGGCTTGGTTTAAGCTTTTAAATGAGTATAAACACAACATGGTTCAAAAGAAAATTATTGCGAGATACGCGGTCGAACTTTCCCTATGCGCCTTTAAGCTAGAACCATTTTCAAATGGCCATATCTTGGCTAATTTTTAACCAAAATGTTTGAACTTATATTTTTGAGTTTGGATGGTTTTGAGCTTTCAAATGATTACAAACACAACATAGTTTAACTTAAGCTGCATAATCAAAGTTAACACTTTTCAAAAACGCCGTTAAACTGAACTCAAATTTTCAGAAGTTTCTAGAAAACAAAAACCTCAAAATATTTTTTTTCGAAATTCTTCAATTCCTCTTCTTCAAACCTTACCAATGCCATTAATCAAAAACGTGGCGGAATGTTTGCAACATACGGTTTTTCGTTTTTCTGTCTGCCATGTGTTGACAGCCATCTGGCGGCCAAGGGGGACAGTTTACATATACTTTTGGAGGGTGGAAGAAGAAGAGGAATGTTTACAAATTGATAGGTTTTATAATACATACCCTGGACCAGGTCATTGTATAGAAATAAGATAAGGGAGACACGAGTACATAAACATTAATATAGACACAGGGAGGTAAAAGTCTGGGCTTGGGGTTTTTTTGAAAAATTCAAAAGACCAAAAATTTTTATAAATGTTTAATTCAAAAATTCAATTTTACTGAACTTTGGTAGAAAGTTCAGCAAGCTTTGATTATTTGAAAACGATTCTAATTTGATGGCGCATGGAAAATAAGCCCACAACGAAGACTGGCGGGTTTGGTCGGCAGCCGATGTCTAACTTAAAGGCGCATAGGGAGAGTGCAGAATTTTCAAACTAGGCCATATTCATAGTCATTCGAAGGTTCTAGACAAGTCAAATTCAAAAAGAAACGTTTCATAGAATTTGTTGTGAAAATGAGAAAGATATGATTATTTGAAAACAGCATCTCTAAATTAAAGGCGCATAGGCAAAAATACTGATTTTGATTGTGTTGCTCACCTCGCACTACATTTTAACGTATGTCATGTTTATAATCATTTGAAAGCTCTAAACAAGCCAAACTCGAGAATATAAATATTATAGAAATAAATCAAAAAATAAGCAAGATATGGTCATTTGAAAATGGCTCTGGGTTTAAGTCGAATAGAAAAAGCGCCGGCTTTGATCGCGTCGCTTGCGGTACATTTACCTCTAAACTATATTGTGTTTATAATGGTTTAAAAGCTAAAAAATCGTTTTGTTCAAAAACTTAATTTTCATATAATTTGACGAAAAATAACCGAGATATAGTCATCTTAACAGTGGCATCATGTAGCCTATGGTCAACTTACAAGCCTATCCTTTTCTCCCCACAAAATCCAATTAACTATCCAACCCCAACTTGATGTGATCCTTCTCTCTTATCTTGTGTTATCCGTTATTTTTCAACGGGTCCCTCTCTCTGTCTTATCGCTATAAAACAATCATAATAAATCACCGAATGGATCCCTATCCCTATCCCACCGTGAAGAAGGAGAGTACAGGAACAGCTGTTTGATACAGGTGGATGTATATATTTTTTACACACTTTAGACTTAGAAATTGGTTGTATTAAAGAAAACATACAGAGGGCGGGGGGGGGGGGCACATGTTGCTTTGTGGGTTACAGTACTTTCAACTTTGACCCAATTTATCTCCGTTTCTGAAAAAGATATCAAAAAGCGGTTAACCGATAAAATGTTAGGGATATTATGATAAACATTTTGTCAGTATATTACTTTTTGATATCTTTAATAGGAAAGGAGGTAAGATCAAACTTGAGTCACTGGAAAAGTACCTAGCACTTGTTGGTCTCCTTATGCACTGTTGCACCTTCCAAGGCTAACCCAAGCGAAACTTTCCTTCCCGAGCAAATCCATCAGAATTCGTTAATCATCCTGTCCTACTGTCCAAATACTTAGTGCACCTTCACAAATTCATCATTCCCCTTCCCATGGCTTCCGGCCCCACCCCCCACCCATCTACTCCCAAAAACGATTAGTATCCTTCAAGATTCCGTTGGGGGGAAAGATTCACAAAAAGTTGCACACAGAACAATTTTCTCTCTTCTTTTTGAAAAAATTTTGTGCTGCTCAGAAAAGAGAACCAGAGTGATATATAGAGGCTTATACTATCTTGCTTGGCCATATTTCAAAAGTGAGAGAGTGTGAGGGAGGGGAGAGACGCAGAGAGAGGAGGCAACTGCTCTGTGGGACACGTATCTCGGAGCTATCAGTTTTTGAACATGAAGGAAAAATGGGAAAAGATTTGGGGAGCGGAAATTTTATGCTTTTTTGATCTTTGCAGTTTTCCAAATCTGGTCGGCGAGGAGTCCTTCAAAGATGCATCCGAATCCATTCTCACCTACAAACCATTGCTCTCCGTGGTGTGCTCCGAGCAGCTCAAATTCTTCTTATGCTCAGTTTATTTTCCAATGTGTAATGAGAAAGTGGGTTTTTTGAAAAATAGTTTCAGAGCTCCAAAACGGTCTGAAATTCCAGCTAGCCCATCCGATCGGACCATGCCGCCCACTCTGTCTGTCGGTCCAAGAAAAATGTCTGCCGGTGCTCGAGTCCTTTGGATTCTCATGGCCAGAAGTTATCAGATGTGACAAATTTCCTCTGGAGAATAATCGGGAGAAAATGTGCATGAAGGGACCAAACGAGCAAGGTGCCATACAGGATGAAAGAGCAAAGGCTTTGGAAAGGGTAAGAGAGAAAGGGATACTGTAGTTTTGCCACAGATCCTTGAGCCTTTGCGTCTTTAAATCAGAACCATTTTCAAAAAAGCAAATCTTGCTTATTATCTGACTAAATTTAATAAAACTTATATTTTTGAGTTCAGCTTGTTTTCAGCTTTCAAATGACGCAATTTGGGAACAAATGTGTCATGCGCTACACGGTCAGAGTCGGCACTTTTCCTATGCGCATTCAAGCTAAGCGCTAGCTCTCGACCCTGTCAAGTTTATACGCATTTCAAAGCTCAAAACAAATTGATATCAAAAATTTAAGTTTTATGAAATTTGGTCAAAGACTAAGCGAGATGTGGTCAAAATGACAGCGAAGCTCATGAGCAAGCTCAAGGCTTGATAATTCTTATGTTTCAAAAATCCTATTAAAATCTTAAAACACTGAACCTCTAAATTCTGGAAACCCATAACTTTTGAAAATCCATGTCCCTTTAAAGGTCCCTAATCTCCGTCATAATCTCATCATCGGTTAATCGATCATTCACAAAAAAGGTGTTACGTAATTAGATACACACCGTGTCACTAGCCGCCTCAACCCAAATCAATCATTTCCAGGAGTCTGATGAAGAAGATAAGCAGCGGGCGGCCGATCGTCTAAACGGCAAATGTCCTCAGGATGAGGTGTTCTTGAATCGATCCGCAAAATGTGTTCCGCTGTGTTCGAATTTGCAAAAAGTTGGACAGGTGAGAGGGAGTATGGGAATCGTTAAATTTAGAGGTTACCCCAGGATCCGGGGCTGTCAAAAACCGGAGGACTGTTGCCCTAACTTTATCAGTTTTGCTTCGAATTTTATGAAATTTAGGTTTTTGAGTTTGGCATGTCGCAAGCTTGAAAATGAGCCCAAACACGACATGTATCCGAAGTATCTGATTTTTCGTACTTTAAAGGCGCATGACTCAAGGCAAAAAACAACATCATCCGAATATAGTCGTGTTTATACTCATTTGAAAGCTAAAAGCATACCAAAATCAAAAATATAAGTTTCACAAAGTTTGGTCAAAAGATAACCGAGATATGGCCATCTTTGCGTAATGTAGATCTCCGGGTACATACCGCAATTCCTATGAACTCAATTATCTCACTTCCTATTAAGTATATCAAAAATTGGTTAACTGATAAAATGTTGCTGGTATCATGATGAATATTTTATCAGTTAACAACCTTTTGATATCTTTCACAAAAACCGATATAATTTAGCTCAAAGTTCAAGTATAGGAAAAAACAATCAATAAACTGCTTGAGCTCAAAATTCAGTTGAAAATGATCAGAGTGAGACAAAGTTGACACCGATTAATAGAAAATTTTGGGGAACTTGTCAATTTGAATCATTTCCAGACCGACCGTGACTCTGCAACTCGTCTTCTCCTCTTCCTCTCGCTCAGCTCTGTGATCCTCACGATTCTCTCAGTGTTCATTGTTGGATTATCGTAAGTTGTCGCTTCTGTGCTCGTGACAAAAATCTATAAAAACAGGTTCTACTTCAGAAGATTCGAATTGTTGAGTTCGCTTCCCGAAACGGCAATGTTCTTCTCGTGCATCGCGTTTGGTGTCACCTCGACAATTTATGTGATTAGCGTTTCTTTCAAGGATCAGGTAAGGCTGTTGGGGGCTTAGCGGACAAAAAATGAACAGAAATCGGGTCAAAAACAAGCTAAAAACAGACTGAAAACGGACGAAAAAGTGGAAAAAAAATTAGTCAAAATTTAACCAAAACAGGTCAAAAACAAACCAAGAACGGGCCAAAAATGGGATAAAATTTGAGTCCATTTTTGGTCCGTTTTTGATTCGTTTTTGGCCGTTTTCACCAATTTACTATCCAATCTCACTTTTCTCCTTTTTCAGTTCCAAATCTCTTGCACCGACTACACTCAACACCTTCTATTCGTTGTCGGCGGACTATCTCATGTTCCTTGTTCTACAGTAGCTACACTCATTTATTATTCTGCCACGTGCTCAAGACTATGGTGGTTGCTGATTTGTTTCTCATGGAATAAGGCGACACGAACCGCGAATTTATTGGTAAGAACTCTAATCTTTTTGTGCTCAATTATCTCGGCTCCTATAAGAGATATCGAAAAATTGCCAACTGATAAAATATTTATCATGATGTGGTTAACATTTTTGTTTTTTACAAATTTTTTGATGTCGCTTATAGGAGCCGAGATAATTAAGCTCAAAGTGTTCAAGTACGGTAGTTGTAGCAACCGATCCACGCTTAGTTTAAGTTCAATTATCTCGGTGCATATAAGCGATATCAAAAATTGACCGACTGATAAAATGTTTGTCATGGTATCAGTAACATTTTTGCAGTTCGAAGAATTTTGATAACTGTTACGGGAGCCGAGATAATTGAGCTCAAAGTGTGTGAGTAGGGTAGTGACGCAAAGAGCTGCGCCGACCCCGCAACGCTTGATTTAAGACTCAATTATTTCTGCTCCTATGAGAGATATCAAATATTTGTTAACTGATAAATTTTTAGTGATAGTATGATAAACATTTTATCAGTTGACAGATTTTTGATATTTCTTCTAGAAACCGAGATATTTTAGCTTAAAGTATTCAAGTTCGGTAGTTGCGCCGACCGAACGCGCTCAATTTAAACTTAATTACCTCGGGTCCTATGGAAAATATTAAAAGTTTGTCAACTAATAAAATGCTTGTCATAATAATTTTGTAATAATTTTGTAGTTTGATTTTTTCCAGGATGACTCCCGTACCCGAGTAATCATGCTGATCCTTGGAATCCCATTGGCTCCACTAATGCTTGCTCTTCTTGCCAAAGCCGTCGCCGCCAACCCTCTCACCGGACTTTGTTTCATCGGTGCCGCCAGTTCGGGCACCGATTGGATATTCAATTTCTGTCGGGAACTCATTCTTTTCCTCATCAGCTCGTTGGCTCTCTCCTCCGCCTGCTGTAGACTTTTGGGGTCTGATGATCAAGAAGTGAATGGATTCGCTGGAGTGATAGCTGCCATTTATCCAATTGGAGCATTGATTTATATGCTATGCTTTATTAACGACGCCACACAACCGAATTTGGCATTGGATCGAAGTTTCAATGCGGTGTCGGCGACGAAATTCTCGTTTGATCTACTTTTGAGCTTCATCATGTGCACGTTCTGCTTGATTTATTTGTTCTTTAGAATTGTTCGATCTTCGTGAGTTTTCATGTTTTTATTTGGCGGGAATTCGTAGTTTTTTAAATTGCGAAATTTCGTGGATTTTATGAGAAACCCGGGCCTGAATTTATGAAAGTTTGGAATTCCGATTTTCGGAATTTCTGGATTTCAAAATTTCGAAATTGTCGAATATCTGAATTTCTGAATATCTGAATTTCTGAATTTCTGAATTTCTGAATTTCTGAATTTCTAAATTTCTGAGTTTCTGAATTACTGAAATTCTGAAATTTTGAAATTCTGAATCACTGAACTTCCAAAATTCGAACGTTCTGATTTGTCGAATCATCGGAATTGTGAATTTTTAAATTTTGAAATTTCTGAAATTCTAAATTTTAGAATTTTAGAATTCCTGAATTTTCTGGAATTTTAGATCCCTGGAATTTAAGGTTTTTATAGTTATTGTTTTTGAATTCAAGAATTTCTGAATTTCTGAATTTCTGAATTTCTGCATTTCTGAATTTCTGCATTTTTCAAGAATTCAAAATTTCACAATTCAAAATTTTAAAAGAAAATTGAAAAACAAATCAAGAAAAAATCTATTTGCTTCCAGATTTCAAATTTTTTCTGAAAATTTCAAATTTCAATTAATTCTTGAAAATACAAAACTTTCTTTAAATTTCACAGTTTTTCGCTGAAAATTTCATTACGAAAAGTTAAATTTCGATTAATGGAAATTTCGAGTTCTTTTAAGATTTGAAGTTGAAGATTTAAAAATGAGGTTTTTCAGGAAATTCAAAAAAAATTTTCAAAAATCGATATTTTCAGATCAAAAGTCAGCAAAGAAGGGTACCAACCAGCGATCCCAAAACTTCCACAACCAGCAATTCCCGGAAGTGTTCGATCAAATACATATGCTTCAACCTTCCGGACCAATAACATGATTTAATTTTTTAAATTTAAATTTTAAAAAAGTCCAAAACCAATTTTCCGAGCGAAATTCCGGTCCTTTTCCCTTTTACAATTCTGCTGTTTTACTTGAAAACAAAAATTACGGGTTTTTAGATTTCTAGAAAAATGGAAAAAATTCAAATGGTCTCTCTTTTTTTTGTACTATAATTGTTTAATAATATTCATCTTCTGAAAGTTTTTTTTTTGGAATTTTATGACTCATTTTTGCCATGTTTTATATATGATAAACAATTTGAAACAAATTTTTGGAAGAAAAAGAAACAAAGGAAACATTGGAAAAAGAAGAAATGGAATATTTTTAGTTTAGAAAATTTGTTTTGAAAGTTTCCAAATTTTCAAAAAAAAACATAGACAGATTTCTGGTTGATCCTCATGAACTTTTATGTTTCGACCGTTTTTTTGGCAGATTTTTTTTTTGGAAATTCATTTTTTCTCAATTATTGCCCATTTCTTGGATATTTTGATTTTCTGAATATTCGAAATTCTGTAAATTTGAGATTCTGAGACACTGAAATATTGAGATACTGAAATTCTGAGATTATGAAATATTGAGATAAGGAAATTCTGAAATTCTGAGATTCTGAAACTCTGAGATTAGGAAATTCTGGATTTCAAAATTTCGAAATTGTCGAATTTCTGAATTTCTGAATATTTGAATTTCTGAAATTCTGAATTTCTGAATTTCTGAATTTCAGAATTCCTGAATTTTATGTTTTCAAATTTTTGAATTTCTGAATTTCAGAATTTTAGAATTTCAGAATTCCAGAATTTCAGAACTGCTGAAATTCAGTGTTTCGAAATTTTTTTAAAATTTTCTTTTCTTAAATTCAGAAATTCAGAGTTTCAGAATTTCAACTTCAGAAATTCAAAAATTCAAAAATTCAGAAATTCAGAAATTCAGAAATTCAGAAATTCAGAAATTCAGAAATTCAGAAATTCAGAAATTCAGAAAGTTTCTGAGACACTGAAATATTGAGATACTGAAATTCTGAGATTCTGAAATATTGAGAAAAGGAAATTCTGAAATTCTGAGATTCTAAAATTCTGAAATTTTGAAATTCTGAAAATCTCAGCTTTTCCAATTTATGAAACTCTGAAATTCTGGAATTCTGAATTTCTGAATTTCTGAAGTTCTGAATTTATGAAATTATGAAATTCTGAAATTCTGAAATTCTGAAATTCTGAAATTCTGAAATTTTGAATCTTATTTTTCAAAATTTCTCCCTAAAATTCAAAATTTGTTTCCAATTATTGCTCATTTTTTCCGGCTCAAAATGGTTAGTTTTTAATGAATTTGTGTCCAGAAGACACATTATTTGTTTTCAATTAAATAATTTTCCTATTTTCCCTTCGTTAGACCACATTACATATTCTATTTTTCTGTGTGTTTCTCCAGGAATAATAATAATACTAATTTGTCTATTCTTACGCATTTTTAGCTCATTTTGAATATTTTTTCTGGAATTTTTGAACTATTTTTTTTCAAATTTCGACCTATTTTTTGCTTTTTAAAGCCCCCTTTTTCGGTATTTTTTGACAATTTTCATCCAATTTTCAGGCCATTTTTAGGCAGTTGTAGATTCTTTGTTTAATTTTTGAAGCTATTTTGAAATATTTCGGCTCCGCGTCACTTCGAAACCGCGACACTTCGAAACCAGTTATTTCAAAACCAATCGTTTCGAAACTACAAATTTCACAATGTGCACATTTTTCTCTTCAATTTTAAGTATTCTTTCCTACTTCTAATTTTATTTTTCGGTATTTTTTCGGTGTTGAACTGACTGGTTTCAAAACGACCCGGGTTCGAAATGTCGCGGTTTCGAAGCGACACGGTGCCATTATTTCAACTCCTGTTCCTATTTTCTAGTTTCCTAATAAATATGGATATGTCAAATTCAAATGAAACAAAAATTTGAAAAAATTCCTTTTCGTATCTGTGACGTTTGCTAAGTTTTGATCTCTGTTTCCTCCTCTTACAATAGATTTGTAGTTTTTGGATGAAATTTTTTTGTTGAAAAATACAAATGTTCTTTGATTTTTTTTTTGAAATTTCGGTTTGGAAAATATAATTGTTTGTCAGGAAATTTGAAAAATCCGAACATTTGAAATTTCGAAATTTTGAAAATTTGGAAGTTAAGTATTTTAGAATCTCACAATCAGGGTTTGAGGATCTAGGAATCTAAGAATCTAGGAATCTGAAAGACCACCTAGGTAGTTAATGTTTTATTCTGGAAAAATCAATTTTCGCATTTGATGAATTCGAAATTTCCGATATTTAAAATAAAGTTACAAAAATTCCAATTTCGATATTCAAAATTTTCAAAATTTCAAGAATTCAAAAAGATTCAAAAATTCGAAATCTCTTTTCCAAAATTCACAATATGTTCTGAGAACTTTCAAGAAAACTGCTGTAAATGTTCTCCTGATTTCTCTAGATTTCCATTTAATACCGAGATTTCTCGAAACTTCCACCTTTCTGATTTTCCAGGAGAGTTTTGGAATCTAAGAATCTGAAAACTTAGAAACAACAGGATTTGGCTCCGGGTCACTTTGAAACCGCGTCACTTTGAAACCATTCAGTTCGAAACCACGACACTTCGAAACCGAAAAAAACACGGTCACGTAAAAATGAAATTGAAAATTGGTTATTTTAAGTCCTAAATTAATTTAAAAATATTCAGCGTGCAAACTTCGCAGTTTCGAAATGACTGGTTTCGAAATGCCCGGTTTCGAAATGTTGCGGTTTCAAAACGACCGGTTTCGATATCCTCGAAAACTAAGAATTGGAAAATCCCGGAATTCAGGAACTGAACGTTTAAGAATCTGAATCCCTCAAACTTCCCAAATCCCCAACTAGCCCAAAGCAAATGAACAAAGATCCATAGCTCATAGCTCGCACGTTTCCCCTTTTTGAGAAGCGTTGAATCTATTGAAAATCCCCAAGAAATCCATATTTACGTATGTAACAATAATTCATCTAATTTTGCGATCTGAAAAATTCCACGTGGCTCCAAAGAGCACATATTACGTTGGCAGCTAATATATGGATAATCCGAAATTTCTCCGGTTTTTTCCTTCTGGAATTTCTTTTCCATTCCCCATTAATTCCATTTAGACAACAAAGATCCCTAGAGCGAAAAATTTTACAAACAAAAATATAAATATATATTTAACAGTGTCATAATTTTTTGATCCTGTTTTTCTATGGTCATCACCATCATAAGACGCTTAAGATTTAGTGGAAAATTGGAGGGGCGAGATTTTTGATTTCTGCGCTTTTCAGTGGGCGTTGGGGTTTTGGAAACTTGAGGAAATTTCATTTTTTTAGATTCTTAGTATTCTGAAATTCTGAAATTCTAGATTCTTAGAATTCTAATGATTTTAGGGTACTTAGATTCTTAGATTCTTTTGAACTTGGGTATTTTTAGACTACATTTCAAAAGTTTGAATATCCTATAAAATGTGAATATTTGAAACTTCAAAAACACTTGAAACCCGATTTAGAGTCAGAGTTCTTCAAAAATCAATTACCCTAAAAACGTTAAACAATTGAGAGATTCTAAAAAGTGTCGGGTCCTCTCAATTTTTATTTTTCTTTCCCGCATGGTTTTTCTCACATGGCTCATTTTTGAACATTTTCTATCTGCTGGACCCAGGACCCAGGACCCATGACCCAGGATCCAGGACCCAGGACCCAGGACCCAGGACCCAGGACCCAGGACCCAGGACCCAGGACCCAGGACCCAGGACCCAGGACCCAGGACCCAGGACCCAGGACCCAGGACCCAGGACCCAGGACCCAGGACCCAGGACCCAGGACCCAGGACCCAGGACCCAGGATCTAGGTTCCCTGGACCCAGGATCTAGACTCCCTGGACCCAGGACCCAGGACCCAGGACCCAGGACCCAGGATCTAGACTCCCTGGACCCAGGACCCAGGACCCAGGACCCAGGATCTAGACTCCCTGGACCCAGGACCCAGGACCCAGGACCCAGGATCTAGACTCCCTGGACCCAGGACCCAGGACCCAGGACCCAGGATCTAGACTCCCTGGACCCAGGACCCAGGACCCAGGATCCAGGATCTAGACTCCCTGGACCCAGGACCCAGGACCCAGGATCTAGACTCCCTGGACCCAGGACCCAGGACCCAGGATCCAGGATCTAGACTCCCTGGACCCAGGACCCAGGACCCAGGATCCAGGACCCAGGATCTAGACTCCCTGGACCCAGGATCTAGACTCCCTGGACCCAGGATCTAGACTCCCTGGCCCCAGGATCTGGGCTCCCTGGCTCCAGGATTTGGGCTCCCTGGCTCCAGGATTTGGGCTCCCTGGCTCCAGAATCCAGGTTCCCTGGCCCCAGGATCCTATTTTCCTATACCTTTATAGTACTCTAACTGAGGTCAATGGGACGTCCAGGGACATAACCACGTTTTTTTCAAATTTATAAAGTTTTTTCTTTTTTTCTGCCGAATAGATTTTTTTCATCCAAAAATAAGGTTTTTATCACGTTTGAATAACTAGCAAATTTTCACTTTTGAATACTGTGAAAATCCTTAAAAAGATCCTTTTTTGAGCCAATTTATCTGGGTTCCTTTAAGAGATATCAAACAGTGGTCAATTAACGAAATGTTGCTGATTTCAAGACAAAACATTTTAGTAGTTAAACCTTTTTTGATATCCTTCACAAGTAATAAGATACATTGGCTCAAAGACTTGCCTAAATCTCATGTTTTTAGATCGATTTTTTTTCTGAAAGTTGGAAATTTTGAACACATTTGGGTTATTTTCTATTTTTTTGAAGTTTGAAAAATCTGAAGATTCTGAGATCCGGAATTCTAAGACTCTGAAATTCTAAGTTTCTAAGATTCTGGTATTCTGAGGTTTTGAAAAAAGAGGTCTCTGATATTATGATTTTGAGATTCTGATTTATGATTTTGAGATTCTGAAATTTAAGACTCCCTATCATGGACCATTCCTGACTTCTTGAATTTTAGATAAATTTTCTAAAATTCAAGCTAAATTTCCAGAATTCCAAACTCCAAGTCCCTCTTTTTTCATCCGAAAAAATGTTTTTTTTTCAATTTTCTAGAGAAAAAATAATTTCTGTAGATTTATTTTCTTTTTGAACTAAATTTCTAGATACATCGAACCAAATACCACCAGTTTCTTCAAGAAATACAAAAATTTGTTCTAAAAATGAGAAAAGATCTTTAAAATGTATGAAAAAATTAAGGATTAGGAGTGAATTTTTGTATTTTTTTTAGTGGAAAATTTGTACTTTTTAGGCGGAGGAACTTTGAAATTAAAGTTCAGAAAACGAGGTCTTCATTAGAAATTAATGGATTTTGAAGAAATGGAAAAATAGGGAAATTTGGAGAACATTTAAAGAAAATAAGTTTTTCAACAATTAAATTGTTTAAACTGAACATTTTGAGCAATTTTAAGTTTTTCAATTTCGAATAACTACGTTTTTAGAATTCAAAAATTCTAGAGAAAAGTTCCCACGGAATTCTCTAATTCTGAAATTAATTTTTTTTCTCTTCCAATAATTTTTTCCCATACACATCTCGTCACATTTTTAGTGCAATCACACTTTTTCCATTTTTTTGGCTCTTAATCGGTGGTGCTATTCATTGAAAATTCCACTTTTTTGTTGAAGAACACCATTTTCAAAATTTTCTAGATTTTCTAAAAATTCTTAAGGAAACTCAGAAATTCTGATATTCTGAGATTCTGATATTTTGAGATTCTGAGATTCAGAGATTCAGAAACTCAGAAATTCAGAGATTCAGAAATTCAGAAATTCAGAAATTCAGAAATTCTGAAATTCTAAAATTCTGAAACTCTGAAATTCTGAATTTCTGAATTTAAGAATAGAAAATTTTAAAACAATTTCGAAACATTGAATTTCAGCAGTTATGAAATTCTGGAATTCTGAAATTCTAAAATTCAGAAATTCAGAAATTCAAAAATTCGAAAAACATAAAATTCCGGAATTCAAAAAATGATATCTTAAAAACCATTTCTAGATTTATAGGCCTAGGAGATTCCCGAAATTTATTTCTCAAAATTGCGTTTTTTTCAGAATTTGGGATTTTTTTGATTTTTTTAAATTTCTGCAAATGTTTTTCCCAATAAGATTTTCCAATTTTTCAGAATTTGAAACTCATAATTTTTGAGAACTGTTGAGTTTTTAGATTCTTCTGATTCTAGGGATTCTTAGGATTCTTAGCACAAATTCCAAAATTCTCAAACTCCCCGAGATCCCCAGAAAACCCACTAATTCTCCAATTTTCGTTCATTTTCTCAGTCCCCCAAATCTAAAAAGGAAATTAGGTTTTTAGGAGACCTACACACACTGAGCTGAGAAACGGAAAAAGAAATGAGCATTTTCAGCCGGAAGTACACCAGAAAGTGACCGGATTTCATTAATTACACCCCTCACACATTTTCTTCAGGTACGTAGATTTTCTAGAGAAAATTCTAGAAATTTTCATTTAAAAAAAAAATTTTTATTTTAAAAAATTGATTGTTCACTAAATTTAGGAGGTTTAAGCTGGAAATTCCACATTTCATAACCATTTTCTTCCATTTGTTCGCAATTTTTCGAATTTTTTTATAATTCTAGATTGCTCATTTTCGCTCAAGCCACGCCCATTTTTTTCTCCACTTCTTCCCTTATCCCAAATGTACAGATAATTGGTCCACGACAGGGGGGAACCCTTTAATTTTCATTTCTCTAAAAAATGCTAATTTTGGGGTTTCCGAAAATTTTTCCGGATTTCGAGAAGGGTTTTTTTTTCGTTACTTTTTAGAATCCAAACTTTGCGAAAAGATCCTAAAATTTCAGTTTGTCTACTTTTTCTAAATTATGCCAAAAAAAATTGAAATTTCTAGTTACTCAAAATAAGGAACTTGTAAATTATTAAACTTGCTGAAAATTTCAGAATATATTAAACAAAACTAGAGCTTCAACTTTGTAGTTGACAACTTTTCTGTAAAATTAGGCCCTAGGGAGATATGGCCTACGCGCCTTTAAAATAGAACCACTTTTATTCAATTTATCATATCTCGGTTATTTTGGGGCAGAATTCTATGAAACTAATATTTCTAAATTTGTCTTCTTTAGAGCTTTTGAATGAATATAAACATGGCATAATTTGGGGGCAATGTTGAGGACGACGCGGTCCGACCGCGTAGCTACTTGCGGTCGGTCGGCAAGCTTAGCTACGGCAGCCACATCTTTCGTGTAGCTCAGACCTAGCGATGGTTTCTGCAGCAGACTCGGCTACCTTTCTCATTTTTTTGTCCAATTTGTCTTGTAAGTCTCGATTTAGGCTGTCCGCCGTAAATGAAACAGAAAAGAGGGGCCCCTCCACTTCATTGAAAATTCAATTAAACGTTAAAACGGGCGGAGTGTAGGTAGGATTTCTTTCCGAATTCATTCAAAAACAAATTATGTGCTCAACTGTGCGGAGCTGGAGAGAGAGAGAGAGAGAGAGAAGAGGTAATTACTCTTGCAGATTGGTAGAAAAGGTAACCACACTTGTTTATTTTGGTGGATTAGTTTTGAATCTCTTCATCCTCGAAAAAGAAAAAAAAGAAAAAAAAAGAATCTAAGAATCTAAGAATCTAAGAATCTAAGAATCTAAGAATCTAAGAATCTAAGAATCTAAGAATCTAAGAATCTAAGAATCTAAGAATCTAAGAATCTAAGAATCTAAGAATCTAAGAATCTAAGAATCTAAGAATCTAAGAATCTAAGAATCTAAGAATCTAAGAATCTAAGAATCTAAGAATCTAAGAATCTAAGAATCTAAGAATCTAAGAATCTAAGAATCTAAGAATCTAAGAATCTAAGAATCTAAGAATCTAAGAATCTAAGAATCTAAGAATCTAAGAATCTAAGAATCTAAGAATCTAAGAATCTAAGAATCTAAGAATCTAAGAATCTAAGAATCTAAGAATCTAAAAATCTAAGAATCTAAGAATCTAAGAATCTCAAAAACTACAGTACCTCTCCTTCCCCCAGACTAATCATCCTCGAAAACCTCATCAGATTCATCAGAAGCTTCTTAATGTATTCCTTCATTCTCCTTACTTTTTCTATCCCCTACTTACCCATCCCCTGTTTCCTTCTTCTTCTTTTTTTACATAAAAAAGAGAAAATAGAAATAGGCTATTCCTTAATTAATGAAAGCCTTTTTTTGCGCTCTTTTCTAACGAGTATAGCTCAGAAGAGAAGAAAGACAACGGCGAATATCCATATTTTTGCTTTTTTGAGTTTTTCTAAAAGTTTCGGAAGTCTTTTCGAACGGCTTCTGAATTTCCGGATTTCAGAATTCCATATGATTTTAGCTCCTTGAAAATCTGGGATTCTGAATTTCTGAACTTCTGATTATGAGGATAACCTGAAATTTCCTGGGTTTCCAAATATACCTTTTTCAAATATATTGGAATTCTTGAGATTTTCGAGTTTTCTGGAAATCTGGATTTCAGAACCTTCCTTTTTCAGAATTTCGAAATTACAGAATTTTTGAACATCAAAATTACAAAATTGCTGAATTCCATTTATTAGAATTTCTAGAATTTCTGAATTTCTAAATTTCTGAATTTCTGAATTTCTGAATTTCTGAATTTCTGAATTTCTGAATTTCTGAATTTTCTAATTAAAAATTTTGGATTTTTAGGGTCTTAAAGATATCTGGATTTTCGGAATTCTGATTTTTTCAGATTTTTAAATTTTTCCGTATATTCGTAACTAACCTTTGGAACCCTGAAATTTTTGAGTGTCTAAATTTTCATAAAAAAATTTCGGAAATCTCGGAATTCTGGAATCTCGAAAAATCTGAAGTTCAGACCTTCAAAATTTCAGGAATTTCGATTCTTCAAAAATTCGTTCATCTCCAAACTAGATAATTATCATCTTATCCTTCAAATACTGATACATTGAAAGTTTTAGGAAATTTCAGAATTTAGAAAATTTCAGAATTCAGGAAATTTTGCCAGAGTAAAGCTCCTTTTGAAAATTTTCCGAGACTTTCTTCTTCTGAATTCTTCTAACACATCCGGAGTTGACGTCTTCTGAAGTCTCTTCCTTTCGACAACGCTCATTAGCTCATTTCATCCATCGCGACAACGCTAATTTCATTAATTTTGTGCCGTTGTGGGAAGAGAAGAGGAAGCGGCGAGGGGACATGTGTTTACCACACTCTACACACACAAATACACCTCTTACATGGATGTTCGTAAATTTTTGGATTTAAGGAATTTTTTCTAACTTTTAAGGTTTTCAAAAATCTAAATTTCATAGAAATCGGTCTAAAAATAACCGAGCCATGATCTTTTGGCTCGTTTAAAGGCGCATAGGGTCATTCTAGGTGACATATCTCCTCATGTCCTAATTTTAGAAAAAAGTTGTCCACTACAAAATTCAAGCTCTAGTATTGTTTAGTACATTTTGACCTTTTCAGACAAATCTAACAAATGGGAAGCTCTGTTTTTGAGGCTGAAATTCGACTTGAAATTTGTTAATTTTTGGCGGATAATGTCAAAAGATGGTCGATTTCAAGCGTCTAAAAAGGTAGTGTAAAGTTGTCGGATTTTTTTGAGTTTTTCAGAGTAAACCAAACAAAAATCGAGCTTTATTTTTATAATTGACAACTGACTTGAAAAATTTGAACCTGACGGGATATGCCACGTGGGAAAGACCCTCCTTCGCGGCGCCC